TCGGAGCGGAGATTGACACCGGAAGGACGGACGAAAATACTGAACTGGACCAATCCCTCTAACTTACAGGCCCGGCAAAAGGCAACTGCATTGATTAGGGAAATATTGGGAACAGCGTTATCAGCGGAGGGACTCGGCGAGGTCGTGGAGGGGATTTCCGCCAGAGCCGGCGGAAAAGGGTTCGGAGAAGGTGAAGGCACTCCATGAGGAATCGGACGGAAATTGATGCTGCCCTTTACCCAGTCAATCAACGGATTGTGTCGGGTGAGCCAGCTATATCCTAGAACGATGGAACAGGATGAGTCCAACGGAGTAACATAAAATGTTTCGGAGGTGACGACGCTGGTCGGGAAACGGATCGGTAAATCTACTGCCTCGGTAATCATTGCATTAGAAGTACCATCAAACAAATGAAGCGGAAGCGGAGGGATTGCATAGGTTGGAATGTTATTTTCTCGGATTAGTTTGCTTTCTATAAAACAATGGGAGGAACCACAATCTACAAGAGCCGGGAACGGAGAGATATCGGGAAAAGTGGAAATGGAAACATAGGGTAGTAAAGAGTTCGGATCGGAGAAGGAAATAGTGTTGAGGCATAGCTCCATTGCACGGGTTGAGTCAACGCAACCCTCGTCCCGCGCGGAGTCAAGAGGGTTGCGGACTAATTTTTTGTCTCTTCTGAGACCTCCGGTTTGGCTTCCGGAGTTACCGTGCTGGCACGACCTTTGGCCGCACGGGAAGTAGACTTCAGGCAGTCCCGGGCAGTATGACCGGGTCCGCCGCAGAAGAGGCAGAGCTTCTTCTCCATGCGCCTCTGGCGCTCCTCGGAGGTGAGTTTACCATCTTTTCCGAGCTTGGACGTCAAGTCCGGAAGTTTGGCGGAGGATGAAGCCGAGGCATTTCCGGACTTTCCGCCGGAGTACTCTTTCCGGTCGGAAGTCGGAGCTGACTGCTTGGCAGGAGGGGCGGATGCGGAGGGTTTGGATTCGCGGGAGACTTCTCCCTTGCGTTCCCAGTATCGAGCGTCGATAGTTTGGGCAAGAGTTTTGTATTCGGGAAGTGTGGTGGGTTTCCCCTGACAACTGATTTCGTCCTTGATGCGAGCCGGAAGTCCGTTATAGAACTGACGGCGCAAAGCTCTGTCGCCCCAACCTCGGACTTGGGAAGCTAGTCGCTGGAACTCTACAACATACTTGTTGATGCGCTGTCCGTCGCGCATATAGAGCTGTTCCTGTTACGGACTCAAATAGATCTGCTATGCAGAGTCCTAAGAGGGACGTCGTCTGCTAGCGTTCGTGACGTAACCGGAAGGGTCCGGTCTGCGACTGAGTCTGGTGACGTGCACGTCGGCAGATATCAGAGACGCGCTGTCACGTGACTTCTAAGACAGGTGTCTTTGAAGTTGTCTCGATGTCGGGACACAAGTGTCCGGACGAAGAGAGTCGGTCGAGGTAGACTTAGGCGCAACGAGCACCTAAGAGTAAGATACTAGAGACTGAAGCTGAGGGGGCTTCAGAGAGAAGTATGTTCGAGGGAAGATTGAGTAGATTCAAGTTAGGGAATCTAGTACAAGGTGACCGACTATATATACTAAGTGGAAGGGTTAAGGGCAAGCGTACCGTACGGTAGGTAAGGGTCAAGGGGAAACGGATATGGTATAGGTACGTTGGTAGCAATGCCTAATTAGTGGTGGGTGGTCGAATGAGGAATGAGACCGAGAAACGTTGGAACGAACCAACGGTAAAGGTTACAATGCGCAGCACGCATGAGTCAGGGGAAAGATAAGGCCAAGATAAGGAGAGCCACATTGGTGGCATGAGTCAGAGTCGAGTCATAGCCCGAAGGCACGTGCGCACGTTGGTGCGAGAGGGGGAAGGTGAGGGACGGGAACGGTCCCGAGGATCCGGTCAACGGATAAGCGGTAGAGGAGGGCGAGCCGGAGACAGGTGCAGGCGAGGATGAGGGAAAATGATAGGGGGGCCATGTGACCGATGTTACTTGTAACAGTTCCAGCTGCATTTCCGCATCTCCAACCGGGTCATGCGGTCCGAAGTTAGTTTGAAGTTCTAACATGAACTCGGAGTAGTCATCCATCCAGTCCAGACGATCCGCTAGATCATCCGAAAGGAGGTCCGGCTCAAACCATTCAAGGGCCATGCCCTTGAGGTATGATTGCGCGAAGTTGACCTTGGTACGGCCGGTACGGAAAGATTTTGGCTTAGCTTGAAAGTTAAGCTCACATTGGACAAAGAACGCCCGGAGCTTCCGGGGTTCGGTGCCGTCAAAGGTATCCGGTTCTCGGATTTTGACTTTAGAGTCGCCGGAGGAGGATGATTGGCGGTTGTTACGCGCCAGGTTATTGATAGCTTGGGATAGGCGGAGGAAGACCAAGTCCTGCGGACCTAGACCTTCGTTTTCATCGTCAGTCGGGTCTTCCGGGGGCTCATCATCCGGATCTCCACCACCATCTCCGGGCGGGTTTCCACCTAGAGGATTTTCATCGTCGGAATCGTCGTTTGGAAGATTTCCAGCGGGAATGGGTGTGGGGGTAGACGGATGTGGGCGATTCATGAGTTGCGAGATGCTGGAGGCAGGGCCTTGCGCACTAGCGCGGCGCTGCGAGAAACTGGTGAAGGCATCAATTATGGGAGTAGAGTCCCTTCGGGCGGTTACTAAACCCGCCGCATTGAGAACTGTCTGCGCCCGTGTAGGTGCCATGAAATCCGATGTAAGTATACTCGGTAAGGTGTGAGTTCGAATATACTGTTAAGATCGTGCTCAAGGGTTTAATCCGAAGGGCTTGGCTTCAGCTCGTGCGCTGTGCCCCTTACCCGAGTACGTGCCCCTAACTTCCGAAGGCTAATGGACAATGTCCGAAGGGCGTCGGGCGATGTCCGGAAGTATCGGACGATGTCCGGAGTCCGATGTCCGATGCGTGGGAATTCCGGCGGACGTTCGGGAACAGGTAATAAGACTAATCCGGACGATGTCCGAACTAGAAAGGAAACAGCGGAGGACTACCAAAGGTAGAGGCGGAGGTGAAGAGTCTGTCGGGATCGACCCTAAGACTTTAGCGGAGGTTGACGAGAGGATAACTCAAGTCGGGTGGAGGAGAGAATGAGCAGAGTCTAAGATAATATTCGAACTAAAGATGTACATAGATTCTACAGGGTTTATATACTACGGAGGACTTAACGGAGGACAAGCCAGCACGGTCCGAAGCTATGCGAGGCTGTGGAACGGAGGGTATACAAAAGTCAAACACTAGTCTATCGAAAATAGTAAATGAACCCGGAGATTAGAACAGAGGAAAATAAAGGCGGAAGTGAAAGGAGGTACGGAAAATGATATAGTCTAACTGGAATAGGAACGTACAAAGGGATTAGGCACGAAAGTTAGACGCGGGTCGGATCCGGACATAGATAGAAGTCGGCCGGATCCGGATATCCGGAAATGATGTATGTGATACGTCCGGGTCTGGAATGCGGAATATGACAGTCCTCCAGAAAACGCCAGGCTGACGTCAGAACCCGACGGGACTGTTGATCCAGAGTACTCCTCTATCGCGGGGAGAACTCCACCTTGAAAGTTTCAAAGTCAGGACGTCATCTTTAAGTGCCGAGGTACTCACCAGTCGACTGATTGTATGAAACTCCATTGAAGTTGAACAGACTACTCGTGTCCACACCTCCTTGAACGCTGACCGCAGCAATATCACTGAGGAGAGCCAAGATACTCATGGTATCAAACACAGGTGCTGGAACGGTTCTTGAGCATCCCAACTGTTGCCGGCCATCGAGATTGATGCGGTTACATACCGGAGTTCAACACGGTGGAATTAAGGTCCGTACTCAACTGATCTAAAAATGCGGTAGATGCGAAGTCTAATTCTGTTCTGAACATTTCCACAGGCCATTGAAAAGGTGTGGGTAGGAGAAAAGTGCTCCAACTGTACAAACCAGCATCAAATATATCACCGGTAGGTTCATTAAGCACAGCGCAGACCTCGTGCTTAGAAATGTGACCACCCCATAAACCGCCAACGTAAGGGCCGACAGCTTGGGAAATCTCCATCGCAGTATCCAGTCCGACAAGCTCAACGCTATTACAATGCGAAGCTTGAACAGTGTAATCGATTTTCCAGAAAGGTAGTGTCGAAGGGCTCTTTTGATGGCAAATTTGAAGCACCTGTACAATAACAGAAGGGTAATATTTCGGACTGAATGTGTAAAGGAAGACACACATTAAAGTAGTGATCGACAAGGCAGTTGCGATCAACGTAACTATCAAGGTCAGCACGGTCGGATGCTCTCTGATCAGATGAACGACATTATCAGGTAGTGGGAGAACCCCTGTGTACCAGATTACTCCGGTGAAGCCCCATGCAAGACCCATAATCACAATCTGGCAGAAGACAGTGAGGAGGAGCAAAGTATTAGGACTCAAGCGCTGCGAGAAAATATAATCAATTAATAAGCCCTAGAAAGTAATGGAGGTTGGCTCACGGTAAAAAAGTGCATTTTGAAGGTAGGAGCGCGGAGTGGAGGTGAGGACGCCACGGCTGTTGGATTTAAGTAGTTGTTGACAAGCTTACCTCATGTTCCTGGCACTCAGGCTATCACTATGACAGACCACTCGGACTGCGTTTCTCACATCCCGCTGCTTAGCAATGGTCAGTGGTCTACCCGAATGGAGGCAGAAGAGAGGCTCAAAGTTGCGAGTGCTCGGGTCGCCCACGCCTACTATCAAAGACTCCTCGGAAGGCTAAACAGATGATGAAGTTATGTAAAGTAAATATATAGTAGAGCATCGCAACAATCTTGGTATATCTGCTGACCTGTTTCACATGACCCTATCGGATGCACAAGCACGCCAGCCTAATGGCATTATCTACTTCGGAACTTTTTGAGTTTTGATGGATGTAAGAAAACAAGAGCGGGTACAGGTTCATGAACTTTTTGACAGGGTCAGTTGAAGGATAGTGTCGTGGGGAATTGGCCTCTCAGAATGGTAGAAGTCGGCAAAATGTTTAACTTTCTCCCCAGTAACTACTAACAAAGTGGTCGGACGCAAGTTTTTGGACAGAACGGCCCTTGGGCTTCTAATTATGTAAGCCACATGTCAAATTTTTATTAAGGAACAAATACTAGGCCATCCCTGTACCCTAAAAGAGGGTACAGGTCTCCCACAAAATTTCTCTGTGAGCTCGATCATCCCGGCTCCACATCGGCCCGGTTGCCATGATTTAACATTTGTCATCATGACTCTATCTTTGTGTTTGTGCAGTCGTGCTCCTCTTTCTTTCCTCTCGTGTTTGTTCGCATGGCTTCAGCATCGTCTTCCGCACTCAATCCAGCATCTTCTCGACCTCCTCCTGTCTCTCTAGTTGTTTCTGATCGCGAGCTTGTTGACGATGGGATGTCTGTTGTGTCATCGTGTGTCCTGCGCAAGTGTTTTGGGTTTTCAGAGGTCTCCCGCGAGCGTGTCTCTTTGCGTAATCAATATCCTGCAGGTTCCTTGCTGCCTGTGGTCGCTCCCAATTTGCAGTTGATTGTTGAGCATTTTCTGACATTCAATCGAGAGCAATACGCTGAGATTGCCCGTGCACATTCTATATATGTGTCCTCTGCTGATCGAAAGGATCATATTCGTGATCTGCTACGTGTACATGTATGTAATAATGATTGTATTTTGAACACCATTGTGTTTAAGTTGCTGAAACACCCCAGACGGGACCATTCCAATCATGTTTTGCCTGACCCATTTGCACAATCGTATTGTTCGTCCCATGCAGCGTCTCAGCGTGATACTCGTGTTGCAGCGAGTCAGTCGCAGCGTGAGCAAGCGAGAGTTGCAGACGCCGTTCAACATCGACAAGCTTATCATCATAAGCATGGACATGTCACGGATGATCCGCACTTTCCAACGGTATTGTCGTTCAATGACAAGTCGGATATTATCTGCGAGTGGCAACAGAAGATGAGTCCTGAATCATTAAAACGTGGTTGCTGTGCTGTATGTGCTCATAATGTATGCACCCAAGAATTGTGCTCTGTAGAAGCAGCGAAGATACCGTTACATCTGTTGCGGAATGATTATTTGCCAGAGCATACACTGCCTTGCACATATGATCTCGAGTTATATGGTCGTGCAATTTTATATGCAAAGGGTTTGACGAGTTGCTGGTCCCTATCAGAAATGTATATGTGTTCTTCATGCCATTCTGCGCTCATTTCTAAGTGTCCACGTCAGCCAGTGAATTCTCTCGCTAATTTTCAATACTATGGGCATGAAAGGTTATCTCCAGAGATTCGCGAGGCTTTCTCTTCGGCTTCTATTTATGATTTGATGTTGGTCTCTCGTGCGAGAGCATCTCAGATTACTCACTTCTATACATATAAATCTTCTTTGACTCAATTTTGGTCAGCTGAGGAAGCTTCGCAACGATATAACAAGGGAAATGTTGCTATCCGTCCGCAAAGTTCGACAGAATTGTATAACTTGTTACCACCAAACCGTGGTGAGTTACGGGATGCTATGTGCGTAATTTTTTCGGGTCAAAAATGTGTACCATCGCGAGAGACTGTTAAAAATTGAAGCCTGTGTTAGTTACAAAAAGTAGGGTTCGTAAGCTCATTGATTTCTTGATTACACACAATCCATGGTATCAGCATAGTGGTGTATCATATAGCCAAGATAATATGGATGCTTTGTTTGATGAGGCTGATTTCGATGCAGATACTGGTGTGCCGCATGCTTTAGCGATTTGCCATTTGCCGACAGAGGATCAGGCTTCCCCAGATGCAGGTTTCAATTCACGCGATACTCACGATACTCATGGAAGTGATAATGGTGATCTTGTCATGGAACCTGTTGGGTATACAGAAGGTGATCATTCTTCACAAAGCAGAGAAAAAATGAAATTACATGCACTCACATACATTTTAGACCACAAGAAATTCCTGTTGTCACGGACAGGTAGTAAATTCGTAGCTGACAGTGATCCTGGTCTCATGTCCTATTTGTTTCCCCATCTTGACCCTTGGGATATCGGTGGATTTTTTCATTCTGGGCGAACAAAGCAGCAACACCTTTCAATGCAAGCGCAAGTGAGAAATTTGCTTCGTCAAGACGACTCACCTTTTAGAAATGATCCTCAGTTTGCCTTCATATGTTGGAATATGATCCAGAAACAAGAAGTCAGCAGGAATACAACTTTTTGCATCGGTTTATCTGCGCAACGAGGATTAGCTAAGGAACTGACAGATATCGCGCCATCCTTGACATCTTTAGCTGATAAGTGGAGTCACTCTGTGGATCAAAAACCATCGACGACTGTAGAAAAGAAAGCTGTCCGCATCCTGCGTCGTTTGCAAGCTTCCACGAGGTCGGTACGAGGTAGCATTGGATATAAATTGTGTCGTCGTAATGAGATTCGTTCTTTGATGAAAAAAATTAGCACACCTGCATTATTTGTGACGCTGAATCCTCATGACTTGACTAGTCATATTTTGCCCGTCATCACAGGCATCGAGTTGGCGGATTGGTCAATGATGTCCTCCTTTGAGCATGCCAAAATTGTCGCAAGTCGTCCTGATGCAGCTGCCATTGCGTTTGATCTTCAAATTCGCGCGTTTATTAATATTATCCTAAAGTATAAGCATGGCCCTGGTATATTTGGACACTGTCAAGCATATTATGGAATGGTGGAAGCGCAAGGGCGGGGCACCTTACACTGTCATATGTTGCTCTGGATTGCAGGTAATCCGAGCCCACAAGCTTTGCGAGAGCATATGGCAAATGAAGAAGGATTTCAAGGCAAGATGTTCGCATGGTTAGAGAGTATCATTAGTTATGAACTGCCAAATGATACCACGTGTGTATTTGAGACGAGTCCGCAGGATGCGAAGAGGCCTGACAGAAGTTCAGATGAGATGGATCCTCGGCTAGAGTTGCCTCCACAAATTGCGGACTTAGATGATCAATCTTTTGCATACGAATTTCAAGAATTTCTGACTCGCTTGGCGATAGAATGTAATTGGCATATTCATAATGACCCGTGCTATAAGCACATAAGAGCAGGTGAAAAGCGTGGAGACCACAATTGTCAGATGCGCCTTGATGGATCACTGCAGGCTGTTACCAGCATTGATGTTGAATCTGGTTCGATTGAGTTGCGTCGATGGCGAGGTAGGGTGAACAATTATACAGACCTGATATTGTTCCTCTTGCAAAGTAATACAGACAGTCAGTTTATTGGTTCAGGTGAAGCTGCCAAGGCTGCTGTCTTTTATATAACCAAGTATATCACAAAAGGTAATCTCCCAATGTACACAGGTCTCCAGGCCTTAGAGTATGCCACTAAAATGCATGAACAAAAGTTTGAAGTTGAAGAGAACGTCGGTCCAGAAAGAATCAATCGTAGTCTGATAACTAAATCTGTGAATGCCTTGATGGGTCAACAGGAAATATCTCATCAACAAGTCATGAGTTATCTTGTTGGGAGTGGTGACTTTTATACAAGTCATACTTTTCAGATGGTGAAGTGGTATGAGTTTGTACATGCCGCTGAAAGACTTGACCAAGACATGGAATCTCTTCCGATTGATGATAGACTAGTGTTGGAGGATAATGATACATTATTAAACGAAGAACAGATCACTGTGAACGTCATGCCTGATGCTGTTGAATTCACCAGTGAGATTGAAGATTATGCATTATGTCCTACAAGTGCACATGAGTTCAATGATTTGTGCTTATGGGAATTTGTGGAGAGAACTGTCAAAGAACGAGGAGACATACCTTTAGAAGACACATCAGAGATCGAAGATAGCGATAATGAGGAGCTTAGGACTGTTCAGATGAAAAAAGGGAGGAAGAAGATGCTTTTATGAGCTAAGTTTTGCAATCAGCACAGTCAGTACGAATCCCATAGGTTGTGTATGCGGAAAAAACAAGTGATCCCAGTATTATTAGGCGATGCAATCCCACAGCCGGATGGTGCAGAGGAAGAATATGAAAAATATTGCCGATGTATGATGATGTTATTTACGCCATGGCGAGACTTGAGATGCTTGAAAGGCGAACACAGAACATGGATTGAGGCATTTGAACAAGAGACATTTTCACCTGCAAAGACTGCTATCATCCGCAATATGAATGTAGAGAAAGAATGTAAAGAAGCTCGAGACGCACATGCTCATGCAGCACAAGAACAATGTATTAAACCTCATGTGTTCGATCGGAATGACACTGAATATGACGACGGACAAATTGATATGGCAGCATTCGACCAAGCCTTATTTGCTGATTCTTCTCTTGATCCTGAAGACGATGATCTTTCTGCCATAAATGGTGAATCGAAGTCACTAATCCCTGGTGATGTCAGTAAAAATGCTGGGGATATTCAAACATGCCTCAGAGCCGCCAAAGATGGAGGGTTATTTGAAGTCGTGAGGTCATTCCCAAGTGCGAATTCTGAATGTGATGTGACTATGACAGAGCTTTTGACAGACCAGAATCGAGGACGTGTTAAGGAGTTTACATCTATCATGAAAACTGCTAAGAAACGTAAGAGACCCATAGATGTAGGTTCTACAGACGCAGAGGTGAAGCGAGCTCGAATGGATTTTACTGAAGATGATCCAACTATCAGCTTGGAACAGATGGAGAAAGATGCGGACATCACATCAATATATTATAAGCCTGAGATCACAGATAGTCAGAAAGAGTGCATTTTGACGGACATCATTCAAGAGTTTAAGCTCTCAGATAATGCCGAGCAAGAAATGTGTCTGAGGATTATCGGAGAGCATTTTATTCATGGTAATATCAAACAATTGCTTATGTTTATTACTGGGATCGGGGGCTCTGGAAAGAGTCATGTTATTCGAGCAACTGTGGAGATGTTTAGACGTTGTGGGGCGCCAGAGAAATTGACGCTGAGTGCACCTACAGGAAGTGCTGCTGTTCTGATTGATGGATACACCATACATGCATTGACTTTTCTGCCTAAACGTGAGGTACCTGTAAAACAACATGACCTGGAGTATATCTGGCGAACCATAGAGTACCTTATTTTGGATGAAGCGTCCTTACTGTCGGCAGAATTGCTAAGCCAGGTCTTGCATCGAATCTGTCAAGCAAAATCATGGGATGAGACAGCAAGGGACAAACCATTTGGCGGAGTGAATGTCATTTTCGCAGGTGATCTTGGCCAGTTGCGTCCGCCCATGTCCAATGCTTTATATAGTTTCAAACTTGTTGATAAATTGGGTCCAGGAACAATACAAACCGTGAAAGGACAATCAGCATTACATGGTGCGTTTTTATGGTGTCAAATTGATGTTGTAGTTGAATTGAAACAAAATTGGCGAGCAAGAGATGATGCAGCATTTGTCGAGATGTTAAATCGTATACGGTTGGGCAAAGTTCGCAAAATTGCGATAGACAAACATAATGCAAGTGACTATGATGTGTTGAAAACACGTTTGCTCCCTGAGATTCAAGGCAGATCAAAGGACGAATTTGAGAGCTTCAAGGACGCACCCATAATTGTGACACGGAAATATCTAAGAGATGCTATTAATCAATCCAAGGCCTGTGCTTTTGCGACTCAAACAGGTCAAGAACATCATGTATACCATGCTAAAGATAGAATTAGCGGAAACTCACTAGCCATAGATCAACAAGAGCGGCTGTGGAAAATGGACACAACACATACCAACGATTCACCCGGTATATTGCCCCTTATTTCTGGAATGCCAATCATGGTCACCGAAAATGCTGCAACGAGCTGCAAAATTGTCAATGGAAGTCGAGGGATACTGAAATCTATTGTATATGAAATAGATGAAGCTAGCAATCGTTTTCCAGTCTATGCACTTGTTGAAATAAAAGAGAGTACCTTACATGTCGCAGGTTTGGATGATGGCATAATTCCAATTTTTCCAATAACGAGCAGTTTCACTTTCTGTATGGGCGAAAAAACAGTGATCATCCGTCGCACTCAATTGCCCATCTTACCTGGCTGGGCATTCACAGATTACAAAGTCCAAGGAAGTGAATTATCGAAAGTCATTGTTGACTTGACAAATGCGAGGACTTTGCAGAGCATTTATGTCATGCTCTCGTGCGCTTCAAAATTGAGAAATGTCGCGATATTACGGTGGTTTTCTTCTCGCACATTACATGCAGATTTACAAGGAGATGCACGAAATGAACTACAACAATTAGTGAACATAGCAACCTCGACGCGGACCAAGTACTTACAAGAACATACTAGCGGAATGAGTCCAACATTGATGCCAGTTTCTTAGCATTGGCAATAGTGACGACACTTGGCATAGCTTGATTAGTAATCGGAAGGTTGATCATGCCTATGCATATGACTCATCTGTCATTTTCGCTGAGATACAACTGACATCATATAATGAAAACAATCGAAGGCCGTCTAGATTCCTTGTTTGTTCCTCTATGTCATTTTTAGCTGGTAAATTGACCAGTCTGACCTGTATCGATTACACTGATGCTTTATTGTCCCAGCTCACGAGTCTTTCATGGCCTATGAATTATGGCCAAAACCTATCGCTAATGAGATCCGAAGGTTACAAGGAATGGAAGACTTAGCTTCATGGGAACTATTTCCGTCATCCTTACAGGAGATGGTAGCCTGGGCGGATGTCTACAAAGATGAAGAAAAGCGAGATAAGTCAAGAAATAATATCCTCATCTACAAGAACATCCCTGAAGAAGACAAGTCTTTGATATTTCCTGTTGCGATTCGTATGCATGGCATTCTCGAACAATTTCGCATTGAGCGTTTTGGAAACTGGACTGGGTAAGTCTTTCATCCAGATGAAAGTATCCACACTACTGACATTGATTGATAGCAAGTCTGAAGATGTCCTACAAGCAGTACAGTACATCAACCTTTCCTCCGGAGGCCACGAGGCACCTTGGAATGCGACCATCTCGTCACTCAATCTTGCTTGCGACTATGTAAGCAGGAAATTGAGTATACCAATGCAAGAGATGCCCAAAACTCGGCAAATCTACTTGCAGCGGCGTGTATTTTACAAGGTCAGCGTGATTAAGCTTATGATTTTCATACTAACTAGTTAAGCAGAGGGAAACCGCCAGGGAATCAAAAGAATCTCTTTTAACACAGGACGAGGATCCTGAAGGTAAATTTTACCACATTCAAGAGTGGTGGAGTGTCGCACGTCCATTACGAGTAGCGGAATTGACCGCAGACGGCAAGAAAATGGCCATGAACTCGATTATGTTAACAGAAGGAGATTTTGTGGAAGTGGGCGCTGAACTCGACTTTGTGGTCAACAAAAATAGGAATACTCAGATAACGGTAAAGTGTTTTCTGACGTGCACATATATTGTGCGCTTGATGCCCGCAATACATGTCCAAAATGCGCAGTTGGTAAGTAGCAATATCTCAAAAACGCGATCTTAGATTGATAATAATGTTTAGGACATCAAGAGGGCCACATGGAAACGCGACTTAGGTGCTACATTGGTGGAACCACCAAAGAAGAAATTCCACACGACATTGGATTTTGACAAAGATTAGGAAGACGAGAGGATGACTGCATCATTGTATTTGTACTTATTTGACTTAATAATTAGGAGACACAGAGACGGACATCAATAGGGGGATCAACTCTTCATCAGTAACCACTTTATCCACTATGGTGAAAACTAAGAACGACGCTGTACCAGACAAACAAAATACGACAGAGACACGGCCTAACAAGAAAGTAAGAATAGATGATGCAGGTAAGCCTCCTACACAACATCAGACCATCAGACTGAAGTACCCCTAGAAATTTCAGGAGAAGATGCAGAGAATGTACAGACAGGAGATGATGCCACTGCAGGAACAATGCGTACATCTGATCCCAAATCAAAGTAAGAAGATCAGCCAGCATATAAAGAGCATAATACTCAGAGACATTGCAGATCAGTTGGTTCAAGCAAGGAACCGATGACTGACCTAGGACAGACTGTGGCGGGACATGAGACCGCCAACACTGATGCATTGCCTACAACATCCAAGCATGGAGGAGGAGCTTGCCAACCGACGCTGACCGTCAAAACAGTGATTCCTCACCCTACCAAACAGTTAATTGAGAATAGCGAAGTAGAGGAATATGACGACACATTGAAATTGTGAGATCTTTTTTCTCTTCTGCGCCGCATGGTCAACACTCACATATATGCAGACGGCTGCAGAAACTCTCTGAATATACAAACTCAAATGCGAATATATACGCTCTCGGCAAACTCCTCCCAACCGCAACCTGGGGACCGTACAGAGCAGTCAACAATCGCAGTAAAGTATTATGTGATCCTGCAACAGGAGATCCTCTTACCATCTGGGCAGTGGGATGCATCGCTAAGATGTGGTTCATGAGGCAAGGGAAGCCGGAAAGCCAAGCTTCTATCACTATTCTGCCCCTATCACAGACTTTGGCGAAACAGAGCGGGCAATTACTGACCAAATTCTCCAACCCTGTCTTGAGTAAGTGGCTGGTGAGTGCAAAGTCAAAACATACTGATGCATACTTAGATTTGAATCAGCAGAAAATTGACATTATCCGTGCTATGAAATGGCAGAACGCTAAAGGAGGAGACAGCATGTCCGAAGTACGTGTTAGTATACAACACAACTTGACAAAGAAGTACTGACAAGATTCAAAACAGCCTATTCTTTTCGATTCTGTGTATGACGCCAGAGAGGAAGGCTCGTTAAAGACCTATAGTGACAGACCTGTATGGAGCCTCACCGATTTGAAAGCAGGTGATCTCATTCTGTTAGAGATGAAGATGACTCATTACTCCAGGAGGGGTGAGGATAACAAATGGCAGTCACGGGCACAGTATGAGATGATCGCCATCTCACTCTTACACATGGCAGAGATGCCAGACGACGATGAAGAAAAGATGCATCACATAGATGGATTGGCGATCTGATGATACATAGTCAAAACCAAAGATGTATCACAATGGCAACTCTGATTGAATCACGATTGTTTGGACCAAATAAGTTAGCAAATTTTTAAAAATTCTGTGAGTAGTGAGCAACAGCGCTGATTGTGGAAATTAGGTGCTTCTGACACAGGCGATTCCATTGGGAAATTGCCTTTGATTCCCGGCATGCCCGTGATGATCACATAAAATGCTGCCACTAGTGCCCACATCATCAATGGTAGTGGAAAGAGAACATGCTGGTTATGAAGAAGTCTCCATTGGTGAACACCTGTTATGAAAAAAAGCAGTTAAAGAAAGATTGAGACAGGATCGGGAAGAGATGACATACGAGAGAGGATAGCAAAAGACTCTACGATAGCAGTGGAAGCTTGGGTGATAATAGGTTTGGGTGTGAGGCTGCATAGAAGCAGCGCGCGTGTGAATCCGTCGACAATAGACAACAGAAGCTCAGTGCTGAGTGACATGGGCGGTATAACAGGGATATAATAAGATCAAGCACGAATTTAACATTGGGATAGACAGACAAACAAATGTTTGTGGTGAAGCCTGGTTGATGAAGGCTAAGTTCTGGGGGTTCAATTGAGTACAGAGAATGCCATAATGATAATTTTTGGGAGCGTTCTGCGAGGATGTGTCCTCTGCGACAGAAACCGGACTGGGAGCATGTCCTGAACTCGGATGGTTTAAAGGCGAGGACTGTTGAGAGGACAAGTAGTAGGAATGTCCCTGAGAACCGCATTGTCTTGGTCGAAGTTAAACTATAGTAGGTGTAGCGCAGTTAGATCCTGGGAATGCTTGAAGCAGCCAGTACGGCAATGTGACAGTCCAATCAATGTTTCAACTTCCTTTCAACCATCAACTTGAACATCTCCGCCAAAATGATGCCCCCAGTCTAGGGTTATGATTGCGAGTTCCCTGCAATCACAGGGCTCTCCACCAATCAGAGCTCTCCACCCATCACACTCATTCCTGCTCCATGTCACAAGTTTTTGCTGCAGATATAAGTCAGCACTTCTGATATACCATTTGCCTGCTCTTCGCTCAAATTTATAGCCAGTTAGACATGCTTCCTGAGATTTATCCGTTGCTGATGGGCAGCTTTTCAATAGCCCCATGTTCGTGGTGCCAAATGTACTCTGGATAGCAAGTCCACCGGCTCTGACACTCAGGTGCGTTTTATGATATTAATAATTTTTCTCGATCTATCATTATCTTTTGTAATTGTCTTCTTCTACTTCCATCCTCTCACACACCGCATTGCTATCTTCGTACCTTTATGCCTCTTTCTCCACTTGTAACAGATCTGTACTAACTTCTTTCCCTTGCGTTTCAGACCCATGATTATATATTAAAGGCTATCCCTGAGTCTATATTGTGTTTGTCCGAATCGGTCTAGTCGCCTACTAGCATCATGCTTGGAAATCAATCTCGCTCTCAGGACCACCACGTTGTCCAGATCACGCACAAATGATAGTTTATTGGATAGCTGCTCATCTTCTCCTTTGCACCCAGAGCGCAATTTGCCAGACATTCCTGCACCCCACCAACGCATTCCACTAACATTGCCAGGAACACATTCGCCACCATCATTCAGACAGACAGCTATCAGCATAACTGGTCTCGCCCCTGCTGCTGGCCTTGCTAGGCGTGCAGTTGAAAAGATGGGTCATGTCTGGGGCAAGGCCTCTTCCTCCACTTCAGGCTACCCACCACCTCCAGGCTGGGCACACAACAATCGCTTGCCCCTCTCATGGGCTACTTCTGGTATCAATGAGCCACCTATGAAGATGCACCGACATTCACCTCATGCATCTTCTGGAAGTTGGAGTGTCAGTTCGGCTGGCTCATCTTTGGACCATGAGGGACTCTTGGCATCCATAGGGACTCTTGGCATCAACTGTCCCTATTCTTGGAAAGCGTCTGCGTGGTCCGGTCCACCTGAGTCCTAGAGGTGCCGGTGTTGCTGGCGGACTTGTTTTTGGACGAGATATGAAGACATGCATAAGGGACACAGCAATCGACTCTGTCCGCACCGCGTTGCGTGCCAAGGAGTTTGACAGCAGCGCCACACAAGATGCAGACAGCATGCTAAGCAATGCTCCAAGTCTTCCTTCAGCTGCGCTGGGGAGTCGCCAATTGCCTGCGTTGGTTGTCAGGTGTGCGCAGCACATTCTTACCTGGGGTGTACAGGAGCTTGGGTTGTTCTGGTACGATGCTTGGAGGCTCGGTTGGAAGCTGTCTGCGAGACCATGGCAAATTCGATGAGGAAGTTACAAAATCTTTCATTCGTCCTATTGTAGAGTTGACTTTTGCCTTTCGTCTCGTTGGTCATCCGCAATTATTTGCTGCATTGTCACTTTTTCTTCAATAACACATACTTCACTGTCTCAAAACCAAGCCTTTGTGCTGGTGTTGACTCAGTGTTAAGACCATGCACAAAGGGTAGGACTGATTCTGAGGGGCTTGGCTTCAGCTCGTGCGCTGCGCCCCTTACCCGAGTATGTGCCCTTAATTTCAGATTGATGTCCGGAGAAGATCCGAAGACGTCCGAAGGACGTCCGAAGGCGTGGGAAACTTCGGAAGGACTTTCCGGACGAGTGCAAGTAACTTCCGGATGAGTGCGGGAAAGTTCCGGAGGAACTTCCGGAAATTACAATGAGGTTTTGTCCTGATACGGATATGTGTAATGGCTACTCAGGACAAGTCCTGAGTAGAAGCAAACAGAGAAAAGGCTGCGAGGACAATGTCCGAAGCAGAATAGGTCCGGAGGACCGCGGGAAAGATCCGGACGAACTTCCGGAAACCTGGAGGAAGGTAGGATCGTAGGATCAGATGATCAGATGAGTTTCGGATCGGATGAATAGAGGATCGGAGGAGCGGAGGAGCGGAGCTCTGGCCTAGGGAATTCCTCCCTAGGCCTAAGTGGATATTCACAAGGAAGTAACTAGTATGAGGACTTAGTGTGAAGACTAGTGCGAGGACTAATATGATATTCAGACTGAGGAACTTCAGGACATATACAAGAGTTTATATACTAAGGAAATAATGGAAAGATCAGTAAGCAAGAGTCCAAGGCTATGTATGAAGCATAAGCAAAGTTATCAAGCGCGAGTCGGAAATGAAGCATAGGTTAATGGATCAGTAAGCATACCGGTAGTAAGTATAACTGAGATACCGAGGACAAGAAATACCGAATAGAGGAATAGGCTGTGTTAACGTTATATGCACAGGAGATGAACTAAGAAGCTTATCGTATATCGGATCGGATCGGATCGGACCGGACCGGATCAGATGTCCGGATGAGAAGCGTGGATATACAGGATATGACATTAGGGCGATAGGACAAAGGATGAATGATGCAGGCTAGCTGCAGAGGTATGGAGGTCTGATGTACGGAGGTAAAGGGATCTGGATGTGGATGTGCAGAGGTGCAGGGATCTGGATGGGTACTGGAGACATGGATAGGGCATCCAAAGGTCCGGATGAGGCGTGGGAATATTGTCGGATGTAGGTCCGGAATACGGGATATGACACTCAGGCGCTCAACTTATTCGTTACTTCTCAGGAAGCCATTCAGAACTCCCTTTTCCTGAATACTCTGACGCGCAGTTATTCATACACAGGGCTGCCGTAGTCGTTCTCTCCTTGCAATCTCTGAATCTCATTCTTCATTGCCTTAGGCCATAGTTCAAATACCATCGTGTCTTCAGATGCTGCCAAATGGTCAAGGTTGAGTCTAAATTGGGTGTATTGGTTGTCATCTTACCAGCTAAGAAAGACATGATCACAGTGAAAAGAAGAAAAATAGGATCCCATCATATTGGGGGCATTTGTCTTAGATGAGTTCGATGTCATGACGTCATGGTTGAACCCAGTTCCATGTGATTAGGTGCAGGAAGGTCGAAGCACCCTTTTTTTATTATACGTGATCATGGCAAATGTGAGTGGTAAAAAAAGAAGACAGGGAACGAGCACACAATGTGATTTAAAGTTGGCTGACATAGACAACTATGACATCATATAAATAGGAGACTATAGTGTTAGCCCCCCCAAAAAAAAGAGTGCAACTACGCACGCAAAACAATATGAAGGAATCTCCAGAGCTACATGCACTACTACATGCCATGAATGCCATTGCAAACAACGAGCAGCTGTCTCATTGAGAAATGTGCATAGAACTGGAAAGACAAAACCCGTCATGGTACATCAGTTTAAAAGTAAGATCAAAAACCGTCCTAAACATGAGAAACACTGAGAAAGTCATAGAGAATTCAAAAAATCCGTAAAAGAGCAATGGACATAGAACAGCCATGTGTTGCAGTCAAGATAGTGGAGGATGTTGTGCTCTCCACGAGTATAACAGAAGGTCTTTTGCTTCTGCTTGCAACCCTCGAGCCAATCAAACAACAACGGCCCGGTTCTAACACAGAAGCCTTGCAACTTATTGAGAAGAACCTGTTGCAAGGAGTGCCTCAGAACCCACTAGACTTGTTCCCAAGAGAACAAAACGTCACTGACTGGTATTATCAAATCTATAGCACGGCGAGGCAGAAAGATGACCGAGCATATTATCCCATACTGCTGGAAATATTCGGGAGAAAGAGATGTCCACGTGGAAGTGTAATCATTGTGAAGAATGGGCTCAACTTTAAACCTGATGCGCCTCAATTCGACATTGACATCAACGAGTTAGGAAGAATGCTATGGTGGTATGTGAAAAGTGGGAGAGACCCGGTCACTGAGGCAAGTGAAAGACGTCTAATGCATTATATTCATCAAAGCGCATAATGTGCCAATTACAAATGTACAATAGAGAACAACAAGCTCATTAAATGAACCACTTGGATGTGAAGACTGAGTCACTCTGAGGCAATTAAAACCAACACAATACATAGACTTGAGATCAATCTGGCCGCCACAATGAGAAAGAGAGACTGACGTGACAAAATGAGGATGTATCGACAATAAAGAGAAACATCAGACATACCTCGACAGAATAGCGTCCATGAGAGCCTTTTCCTCAAAAGACATAGACTGAATCTTCTTTGGATTGTGGCCTAAATGCTTGAGCACCAGAATATCTCCATACCACTGACCACGGCCTGCAACAGAGGAAGAGACTAATGCATGATTGACCGGTAACACTGAATGACGCTCAAAAAAAATGATACTATAGGTGTCGGGGAAAATTGAGGATGGCGAACCAGGAAAGCCAGTGATAAACACGGTACGAGGTGTGAGTTCAACACTAGAGGCATAACATCCTCCTCCGATCCACATATGGGCGCGAACAATGCCATCCAAATCCTCAGGAACGTAGGTCAGAATAGCCTCATCACATGCTGTCCCATAGAGAATGACTCTGTAAAATGTACGCCCCACCTAAAAACAACATGAGCATGCAGATGAGACGTAAAAAAGTAACAGAACCAGTTGACAAGTAAGTATATGATTCTCAATGTCATAGACATCCGTTGCAGAGGTAGACGTGCGAGCATACATAGTGATCACCAAAAAGATGAACATCCGAAAAAACCCGAGGCATGGCATATGAATGCCGCATGTTATGTAATAGTCTAGATGCAAAGCCGAAAAAAATTGGACCAACTGATTGTGTCATTAAAAGAAAAAGGAGTCCAACTAGAAAGTATTTAACACAGCGCGACACTATAGGAGTACTCAAACGACACCACAAAATGTCCACACAAACCAGCGTATCCCCAGAACGCGTAGTCATTGGTTGCTTGTTCACACCCACAGATCCAAATGGCTTCGTAGACGTGACCATCAGAGATGGACCTAAAGGGACATTTACCCTGACGAGACATAACCGCTTCTTCAGCGAATTATCAAACATGAAGCAGTACCACAGCTCAGCTAGGAAGAATGAAGACAATGAACCTTACTTTATCCACGTGATCTATGACAAAACATTACATGGGACACCACGATGCCCGTACTTAGTAGTGAAAGGAATGTGCAAAGGGCAGGCAGTCGGCCTGGAACGCAAGGATTACATGGCTGCGACCAATGCTGTTGATCAGTATGTCAATTATGTTCATCCTATAACATGTATTAACAATGAGAATGTGATAGTGTGATACGGAAAGTGAAAGTTGAGGAGAGAAAAGAAGGGGATAAAGTGTAAAGGATATGTCACATACCAGATGAGAGATGCGGCTTCACTTGTAAGACAGACCTGAAATATATAAGTTAGGAGAATCAATGTGATTAACAACATGAGGGAGGGTATGATGAGATGTGTATGGCACGCTGAATGAAGGATACCACTCAGAAGACCCTGAACAGATGACGCAATAGGGGAAAATAAGAAGCCTACATAGTCATCTGCCTGATGACTCCTAAAATCCAACCATCAGAGAACCAAGAATCCGTCACAGTTCAAATCCCAACTTACGACATGGCCAGACTCAATGGCGATTTAGACCTGCTTTGCTCTGAATTACAGACTATGATTCTGGACGAATTAAGCGTTCCAGACCTAGCATCATTGGCAAAAACAAGGACCGAGAATGACGAGGGAGTGAAGGACTATATGCATAAGCGCCGGGAAGACATATTAGGAGCGTTTGTGAAAGATGTAGGCCAATTTCTCACCCTCTTAGACCGGACAGGGTTGGTCGTCTCATGTTCAAGTGCACTCCATCTCGTGCAAGCTAAGGCGATGGCGGTCCATCTACGGGATATGGACGTCTATGCCACAATAGAATTCGAAAATATCATGATGGATCACTTCAAGACAACAGAGGGTTACAAGGTCATGAACAAAAGCAGTAGAAAGAATGAATATGACTCATCGGTGGTGAATGAAGTGTACAAGCTTGAGAAAGGAGAGAAAAAAGTGGATATCATCTTCACCGACTGGGCAAGTGCCATTGTTCCCATCCTACAATATCATTCGACAGCGGTCATGAACTACATCATGGCGCGTTCTCTCGTCTCTCTCTACCCCCAATGGACTACAGAGAAAAAGAGTTTAGTCAACCCTCGCTTATACTTTGAAGACTGCACAAACATACGATCAGTGAGGGCGCTGATGAAGTATGTGCGCCGAGGATTCCATGTCACGACAGAACCGTTCCAATTGGGGACTCATGACTGTCAACAGAGCGCATATTGTCCCCACGCAACCAGGAACACGTTGGATAGAGACACTCTGCGCTGGATCTTCAGGCCAGTGAACACACTCGGCGACATTCCAGTGACTTGTGATGATATGGCAGTCATAATGTGGTGCCTGGGAGGACAAGAGTGCAAAGAGGATGGAGATGAAGTCAGTTCAGCCTTCATTACTGTAGGAGGATGAATGATGAGTACCGTGTCACAAGAAATGAAAGAGCATATTGAGATCAACGAAACTAAAGCTAAGGAGAAGTGATGATGTCATCAGACAAAAATTGCTGTTCGAAAACGTGGAAATAACTGTCAGGAGTATATCAAAGATAGGGTAGCTGCACACTCAGATGAAAACAATATGTCTTACCTGCGAACCATAACTGCTTGTCTTGTAGCATTCACACCCATCAACGGATTTGTGGACGTCAAGATCCATGACAATCAGAATCATGGAGAGTGCATAATCCCGGCGAATCGCTACTTCAAAAGGACGGAAGACATTTCAAAAGTGAGAGTCATCATTGAAGAAGAGGATAATGAGACACATACTGTTTTCATGGTCCTATATGACAAGAGACTGCATGGTAGGAAAGAATGCCCTTATCTTGTGATGAAGGAAGGGGAAAAAGAACGAATGGAAGGGGTAGAGAGGAAGGATTACATGGCTATGATGGAAGCCGTATATGAGCAAGTATTCCTCATAATCCAACAAATAAAAAAAGAACACTGACCAACAAATTAAATAGAATGACATGAGAGACTGTGAGTCCACTCTCGTCGCACCTCGTCCTCCCCTCCGACCACCCCGACCATGCAGTCTATTCTTGAATGTGTGTACATTCCGAGCTATCTGTTGTTCGTCCTGTGCTGCAATGGACGATTCAGAGGGAACTGAAGGCTGTTCATGTATATATTCGCAATGTATTAAATAAAAGACTCACCCATACGGAGGTCATTGGAAAGAAGACTGGAGTCGGGCAGAACTGGAGCCATTTGTCTATAGCAAGACTTCCGTTGTAGAGACTGATATCTCTGTGGGCTTGCAGGGATGTAAAATCCCAATGTCTCAATCACTTCCTAATATAGCGCGACTCATATCTCACAAAGCGCTCTTAAGCGCTCCGGGCGCGCATTTGGCGCACGCATCCTCAGTTCCGTCGCTCGTCCTCCGTCCATCCATTCCATGTCCGTTCGGTTCGTCGGTACGTATTTCCGTTATATTCTTGTTGATTCTGACATATCTCCGGCGCTTGTGGCCACGTCTCGTATGTTTTCCGTCATAGACCCTGATATTACATATTATCTCGTATCCGTTTCGCTTCTCGGTTCGCTTTAGCGCTTGACAGCACTTATCATTACTTAGTATATATACGCGTGCTTATATTGTATAATAGCATCTTTCTGCCTGCACATCATTGGATATAAGTCTAGACTCTCTCTCTCCTCTCTTAAAAGTATCTAAGTATAATACAAGTGCCGCCGCCGTAGGCTACTAGAAACTCTGTCAAAATAGTTCTGAATCATTAAGAGTCGCTATGCTCCACCACCCGCACGTGTGCACCGCTTCCACTTAGCGCGCGCCCCCGTTATAAGGTCACGCGTCGTCGCATATCGTCGCCCGCCGTCGCTCATCAGCGCTTCACGTTGCTTTCGCTCACTAGCGCTTCGCCTATCGTCGTGCGCCTTACCAGGCCTAACCACACGCCCGGTTCTGTGTTTCCCTCCATTTATACACTTAGAGGAGCATTCTCAGTAGCAATCCCCTTGGGCCGACATATATCTTGCTCATCGAGGACTACTTGAGTACATCTCATATCACTATATTACCCCACTACCCATTTCTCTTCTACACCGTTCCCGCAAGCTTAGTGTGAGCAAGTATGATGTATGTGTGAGAACAAGCACACACCTGGGCAGCTTTGTCTTCAAATCCCTTCAAGAACTTTTCGAAGACATCATTCCAACCTTCAAGACTTTTGGAAAGTGCCATGCACTGAGAGAATCGTGCATAGGGAACTGCACGGGTATACCCCCGGGTTTTGGCGGGTTTTGAGTATCTGGGATGGTAGCTCTTCATTCTGCGACAAAAACAAAAAAAAGTTTGTGCAAAATGATCCAGGATTGGCTGAGATATTGCTAGTCCAACAACTAAGGCTAAATCTTCAAAGCTCATCCCTCCACACATCAATCTTTGCAAGCACACACCTCCCAGCCTTCAAATGCTTTTGCAAAGTTCCACACTTTGGGAGAGTGGCGCATGGCAGTTGACACAAGTTTCCCGCTTTTTAGAAGCGACGAATGCAGTGATATGCAACCTGCATTTCTGAATGTCAGTTGATAGTAGACACGACATACTCAAACAGTTGATGAATAGAAAAACTCGCGTGCTGGATGTGTCAACCCCTTGCACGTACAAACAGGTCACATGTTATGATTTATCATGACCAAAATAAATATATGACAACACCATAGAATAGGAGTATAAGAAATATACAAAGGGCAGTGACTATGGTGCAAGATTGCACTGATCTTACACGTCACAAAACTATGGACAACACCAACCTTTTGAACGGCTACTTTGACCGCCTTAGCCCTGAAATTGAGATAATGATATTTGACATCCTACCTCTACCAGACCTCGCACGCTTCTCTGAAACCAGATAGACGTCACAAATTATATGGTCAGGAGGCGCGATAACATATTCAAGACATTTGTGGACGACATCCCCTTGTTCATCTAACTCTTGAAATTCACAGAATCTATAGTATCAGGATCCAACGCATTAAATCTTATCATGCTGAAATCGCAGCAAGTTGTGGCACACGACATCAATGTCTACGCCACAGAACAATATGAGCTTGTAGTGGTGGAATATTTGAAGAACCAAGAAGGATATAAAGTCGCGGATAAAATTAGCCCAAAGCCAAAATACGACGGCAGTGCAATAGCCAGGATTTACAAACTGGAGAATGGAGAAAAGAAGATAGATATCATCATAACTCACCGGAAGTGCGCAATAGCACCAGTCCTGCAATTCCATTCCACCATCGTCATGAACTACATCACAGCAGACAATATTGTCTGCATGTATCCCAAATGGACTTGCAACAGAAAAGGATTCATAAATCCACGACTCTACATGGAAGACAAGACAAACCTACGCACCGCCGAAGCTCTGATGAAATACAAAAAGCGTGGATTCAGATTATGTGCAGAGCCTTTCCAGTTGGGAATGCACAACTGCAACAGGAGTATTGATTGCCCACATGCTACGCGGACGACTGTAGATGAGCATATGTTCCATTGGAATATCAACAATGGCACGGCCGTCGGAACAACAATGATGGATTGCTGGGACATGCCAATCATAGTGTGGTCCCTTGGAGGTCACGGATGCACGACAGAGAGTAACAGGAGGTCGCTGAATCACATCCTGGTCGCAGCCTAGAGAGAAGTTGGCGGATGACTATGATGAATGAGCACAAGGAAAAGAGAAGAAAAGATGAAACAAACTGGCCGCTTCCATTAACTATCCACTTGTATTTGTACTATACAAATGTAGTGACTGAACGAGTGTAAACAGGATGACAATGAGGTGAGCGGGATAACAGTAAGACAGACCGAAGCTTTGCACAATATGATTGGACTGTAATGGGCTCAGCAGCGATCAGCCTTGGAGGAATGAATAAAAAACTAGTGTGCCGGATGTGGAGGAACGATACGAGTGGGAGGTTTACGACGCGCTAAACAAAGGTACGAATTATCTCAGTATTCGTGTCGAAACTGAGATGTTTGGTTGAGAGTACCTGGACTTATAAGGTGAGCGTCCCAGGTACAGTTATGTAGTGAAAATGAGCTAAAAGATGGACAGCGCACGAGCCGACCATGACACGTTGTGCTCGTTCTCCGTTTGGATGCGCTCGCACTCGACATCCTCTCCACTGGGTCTATCCTTCGGCCGGTTGCTCCATCTCTGCCTCGGCTCTCCTCCCTTCGGCTTTCTTTCCTTCGGATTCGTCGGATCCCAACACTCCCCCTCGAGCGTTATCCAAATGCATCAACGTCCGCAGCCTCTGGAGTCTGGGACGCGCTAATGGCTTGGTGAATGTGTCTGCGACGTTGTCGTCGCTAGGGCAGTAGACGATCTTGAAGGTGCCGTCTTTCACGTGTCCGCGTACGAAGTGGTATCGCAGGTCGATATGCTTGGTGCGTGATTGGAATTTTCCTGTTGAGGCTAACGCTATAGCAGCTTGATTGTCACAGAAGATGGGTGTAGGAAGGTCGTGGACATCGTAGAGCTCGCGCAAGAGCAGTTGCAGGTAAAGTACTTCTCGTGCCACACTGGTCAACACTATGTACTCAGCCTCAGCCGTTGACAGGGCTATGATAGGCTGCTTGCGCGCACTCCACAAAACGGGGCCTCCATGGAGCAGTACAATGTACCCGCTCATGGAGTGCCTATGAGGCTGTGATGCCCAATCGGCATTGACAAACGCCTCAATTCCTCCCTCGCTAGATCCCAATGTCAGCTCATATTCTGCGGTGCCTTTTAGGTACTGCAGGGCGCGTTTTGTAGCCTCCCAATGAGGTCTGCCCGGATTCCTCATGAATTGCGACAAGGTCGCCACTGCAAAAGCGATATCCGGCCGGGTACTCGTAGCTGCGTACATTAACGAACCGATTGCACGTTGATACAGTACGTCACGCATAGCTTGGACTTCGGCGTGCGTTCCAGGGGACTGATCTATGGAGAGGACAGTGCCCGGCTCCATGGGCGTGTGCAGGACTTTTGCGTCCTCCAGGTGGAACCTTTCGAGGATCGTCTCGACGTAGGCTTTCTGCAAAAGCGTCAAGGTGCGTGCCACCCGGTCTCTCGTCACCTTAAGTCCCAATAACCAGCTCAACTCCCCTAGGTCGCTAATTTCGAAGTACGCGCGCAGCTCGGACTTGAAACGGTGGATATGGGAGATATGGTTGGCGGTGATGGCCATGTCATCGACAGACACGGTGATGACGACGTGTTCGCTCGAGGTGCGTTTATAGTAAACGGCCTGATCTACCTTTGATCTACTGAAGCCCATTTGATTGAAGGCTCCGGCCAGTTCTTGCGCCCACTCATATCCGGCTTGCTTGAGTCCAGGTAGGCTGCGCTTTAGCTTTAGTACCTTCCCTTCCTGACTATCTTTCAGATATCCCGGCGGCGCCCGCATGTAGATTTCTTCCTGGAGACTCGCATATAGGTACGCACTTTTAATATCCACCTGATGTATCTCCCAGTCACGCTGAGCAGCCATCGTTAGGACAGCACGTATCATGCTCATATTTGCCGTCGGGGTGAAGGTTTCGAAGAAATCGACCCCGTACTTCTGGTGCTGCCCATTTGCGACTAGGCACGCACGCAGCTTCAGTTTCTCACTGTCCAGGCCGCGTTTCGTGGCCAGGACGTAATGGCATGGGATTACGTTTACGCCTCGAGGTGCGTCAACGATATCCCATGTGCCTAGCTTCTCGAGTTGGCTGATTTTGTAATTGATGGCCTCTTGCCATTCTGCAGCGTCTGGGCCTTTCAAGGCTTGTTGGAGGGTCGGCTCTGGTTCTACGGCCGCCAATGCCAGGTGAAGGTGCGTTTCTTTATCTAAGAGGTCAAGTTCTGATGCTTCTAACAGGTTTTCCATCGTTAGGGCTGCGGTGTGGCCTTCATTCAGCGCCGCATAGTACCCTGGAGGTGGTCTTACCCTCGTCGACCTCGTTTCAGGAGTAGATGGCTGAGGTTGCTGGGCGGTAGATGGTTGAGGTTGCTGAGGAGTAGATGGTTGAGGTTGCTGAGGAGTAGATGGCTGAGGTTGCTGTGGCTTGGTGATGGGCTGGACGCTATTAGGTGAGTTATTATTACCATTGCCGCTGTTATGTTCGTTAACTGCAGCAGACTCCCCCTCGTCCGGCATACCATCGGCTGCCAGGATCGGTGTGAAGGTCACATTCCTCTCCACCGTGACATGTCGTCTGCCGGGCCAGTATACCTGGTATCCCTTACTCTCAGCGTCTACACCCACGAAGACTGCCTCTTCTGCCCTTGCCTCCAGCTTACTGGCCTCCAGCGCATGGACGAACACCTTCATCCCAAACTCATGGGCACGCGACAAGTCCGGCTTAGACTTGCGCACCATTTCGTAGGGCGTGCTTCCTGGAATCGCTCTCAAAGGTAGGCGGTTCTTGAGCCATGTGGCATAACTAACGGCCTCGGCCCACAGATATTTTGGCATATCTTTGCCCAGGAGCATCGCTCTCGCGTGCTCGACCAGGGTGCGATTAAGGTGTTCCACAACCCCATTTTGCTGTGGTGAGTCGTGTACCGTCAGTTGCCATTCGATACCTTGCTGACGCAAATATTGGTCGAACTCAGTGCTCAGATACTCCCCTCCTCTGTCTGAACGGACTCTGCGCACGTGGACACCCGGCGACTGGCGGGTCACCCACACCTCGTAGGACTTGAACGCGGTAAGTGCGTCACTCTTCTGTTTGAGGAACTCCAGTCGTGTTTGGCGGCTGAAGTCATCCGTAAAGCTGACATAGTATTTGCAGCCACCCAAACTCGTGGTCTGGGCCGGTTCCCAGAGGTCCGTGTGGACTAACTCTCCGTAGGTGAGTGCGCGCGTTCTCGTCTCTTTGGGGAAGGTTTGTTGCACTGACTTGGCTTTCACGCAGGTATCGCAGAATTCGGCTCTGGACTGCAGGTCCAGGTCCACGCCCACTATCATCCCCTTCTTCACAGCGTCTGCCAATGTGTTTTGGCCGACGTGGCCTAGCTTTCGATGAAGCTGTCCTAGGGTGAGCTTTTCCTTCGCTACGTTGGCATGGTGACGCTGATGTCCTTTTGCCCCAACAGTGTACAGGCCTTCCACCTGGGGTATCTCCGTGATGACGTCCCTTCGAGGACCATGCGAGAGAATTTTGCACATTCGTCCTTCGAAGAGGATGGCTAAACCAGCGGATGTGATACGATTCGTGGATATAAGTGTGAACGCCATGCCGGGGGCATATGGGGTATCCTTCAACGTCACACTCGTTCTCCTTGACCCCAATGGTAAGTCAATTTTGACATCACCACGACCTGTAGCACTGACAATCGATCCATTCGCAGTATACACCTTCTGGGGGGCTATTTCAACAAAAGTCTCGAATTTGGACTTGTCGGGACAAAAGTGGGATGTCGCACCGGAGTCAACTATAGCTCCACGGCGCGCAGCAGGTAAGTGCATGGCTTTGGCAATGCTCGCAAGGTCTGACGTTGCAAATGTGTAGTTGTCCTGAGGGTCAGAGTCCTTCACCACATTGGCACTCTGCTTCTGGGTACGCCCTGCTTGCCTTTGCCGTTGATTTGGCCCCTGACCTTCCTTCCCTCCACCTTTTCGCCAGCAGTCACTCTTCCAGTGGCCCTTACGGTCGCAGTTCGTACACACTGCGTCGGGGTTGGATTGTGGAGCCGAGCTCTGCGAGCCCCTGCTCCTCCCCGGGTTTGTTCTCACAGAGAGCGCACTGCTTGTTGCCTTCTTGTTGGGGCGTCTTTCGGTGAGTAACCGGTGCTCGTATTCCTCTGTGATGATCGTGATTAGCTCGTAGGGCGATAGAGGTGTTTTGGTGATCTTAGTGGCTGCGTTCATGGATGAGAGGAGTGGCCAGTAGGATTCAGGTAAGGACCCTAAAATGATAGCATGGAAGTCCGTGTCGACGACGGCTACCCCCATTCCGGCTAACAACTCCCGCAGACGCAAAAGCTCGGCAAAGTGGGTCTTGATGTCCCCTCCTTCTTCGCACCTCATCTCCTGTAGCCTTCGTCTCAGATCTATCTGGACGAGTTCCATTTTGCCTTCGTGTATGTGGCATATTTCTTTCCAGATTTCAGACGCAGATGCTAACTTTTGGACGCGTAACAGCAGGCGATCTGTGATCGTGCAAAATATTTGCTGTTTTACAAGTGAGTTCTTTTGTTGATACTCATCGATCTTTGTGTCGAGCTCATCGATTTCTGTCTGCATAGGCGTCGTACCATCCGGCTTCGTAACAGCCCCCATAGAGCTCTTTACGAAAGGTGTAGGCTCTTGGGCTCGACCATCGGTATATCTCGTGAGTCCTCGTGCACCTATTGCCGTTAATGTCCTTTCCTTGTAAGTTATCCAGTTCGAGCCGTCTTCGGCAAGCTTCGGGATGTTAAATAGGCTTGAGTTGGTGCTGGGAGTAAATGAGTCCATGGAGGAGGCAGGGCTCATAACCTGTGGAGGAACAATACTGTCACGAGTTCCAAATACGAACCATTATTCATTCCTAAATTCTAAGTCCTTTAAGCGCCCAGTCATAGCGCCTGTCCCTAAGAATATGTTTACTGTTGAGGAAGTTCCTATTATTGCGTCTATTGTAGAATTACCAGAATCACGTGACTTATCGGACAAT